TGATTATAGAGAATATTTCCTGAGAACAGGCAACAGGCAAATGGTCAACATATTTTGCTGGAATAAAAGAAGCTACATTAAAGTCCTTTATGTGTTTGGTTCAAATCAGACACAAAGCCATGTCTCACATTTCACCAGAGTACTTAGTACCTTGGGAAATAAATAGGATGTTGAAATACATGAGTTTTCTGAAAACTCTGGTTTTGAGGAGCCAATATTTTTGGGGAAGAATCATTTCACCGAAAGCAAAAAGAATTTTTTGGGGTATTTGCTTCTTAGAGAAAGTAACTCATTAGCAAATCACACTAGAAACCTCATGTGAGCATCAACAAAGAGTACTTAAATTAGCAACAATTAGATGCCAGCATTTCAGAAAGTCCTGTTTTCATGCAGACCCAGTTTGGGCAAACTATCAAATCTTCTCGGTAATAAATACAAAAAGGAAACCATGGTAAACAATGGTGATCGATATTTTTCATAAAGTTAAATCTTACCCTAAAAATTTAAAACAGTTATGGCATTTGCACCAGAAATTTAGGTAACTACTGTATCATTAATACAGGAATGCAGAAATATTTTAAGGATGCTTTCTCTAATGCAGTTTGAATTAAATTCATAACACATTAATGCCTCCAATGATCAGAGCAGAGATACTAAAGTAAATTTGAACGTGGCCTAGGATCTCTTAGTCTTCTAATTACAAAATGTATTTGCTTTCCCAGGAGATTGTATGCAATACTTCTATTCCAAAATAAATATTATCAGCCATTCATAGTCTCTTAATTCAGATGGGTAAATAACTGTAACATTGTCTTCATGGTACACAGATCTTTCACAGAAACTAGTCTGAAGCAACAAATGGAGGACAGCTGCTTCATTACATATACTTCTTTCTCCCTTCATGAAGACAGCATAAGAGTAAACATACAAAAAACTTAAAAACCCTGCTGGAGGGCACTCAGGTACCATTGTTAAAGGTTGTAGGAGAATCTGTGATGAAGAGCTGCAACATGGGGTCCTCCAGAGTTACTAAACCATGTTCCTCCTGCATCTTCCATTCAACTTGGAAAGGAAAGCAGCAGTTGCAAGGTTTCACATTTCTGAAGTTATTTACTGTATTATCTGTATGTAAGAGCCCTACTCAGCAACTGGGTCACCAAGCAATGGGCAAAGACTTCAGATGTAGTGTTGAACCCCAAGATCTGGAGCCTGGCTTACACTTAGATCCTTTAATTTCATTATGCTTCATCAAGATAAGGAGTCTTTAGTGTAAAGGAAAATCAAGCCTTTTTCCAGTCTGGGATTAAATCTAATTATTGGGTAACAGTTAAAGCAGTGATCACTGCAGCAGGTATCTCCTTTATGAGCAGAGGTGCTGGTGATTGCCCTGGGAGGCTTCTGCCCCACAGCCAAAACCGAGCAGGTGGTCTGTGATGGTGGGTGTCAAGTACCCCTGCATTAATGGGGGCACTGAAACTGCTGGATGATAGTTGGCTTTCACCTCTTGGAAATGTCTCAGAAAAATCATATAAAGGAAACAACAGGTGAGAACCACGACATGCTCTCCAGAAAACCGTGACAAAATGAAAGTACTGTTGCATGAGTAATCTATGTGTCTGAGTTTATTCCGACTGCAGGTGGGCAAATACGCTTTTCCTAAGCATCGACTTACTGGATGCTATATAAGCTGAAAGAGGGCAGATTTAGACTACACATTAGGAAGAAATTTTTCACTGTGAGGGTGGTGAGGCAGTGGCCCAGGGTGCCCAGGGAAGCTGTGGATGCCCCATCCCTGGAGGGGTTCAAGGCCAGGCTGGATGAGGCTTTGAGCAGCCTGGTCTAGTGGAGGGTGTCCCTGCCCATGGCAGGGGGGTTGGAACTTGATGGTCTTTAAGGTCCCTTCCAACCCAAACCATTCTATAATTCTATGCTATCAGAAACAGGAGACGGCGCTAGACTGAGCTTTTGGTCAACCCCATATGGCAGCTCTTACATCCTCATAACGCTCTGAACAGCCAATATACACTATTGTTAGTTTTAATAATCGGAAAATATAATACTGAGCTCTACAGAAATACTTGGGTGATATAAATAACGTTATTATGCAGGGATATGAGTTAATTATTGGCACCATAGTAAAACCACTATGCTGCTGCTATCTCAGTTATTTCTGCAGTAACTTATCCACTTTCTAGCAGTGGCAACCTACAATGATGGATGAGGAAGAAAGACCTGAAATTAAATTGAAAGAAATAATAAATAAGCTACAAAAGTACTGGTGCTTGTCCAGTACTATATTGTCTTCATTTCTTCTCCCTTGCCACATTACCACTGACATGAGGAGGTAATTTACAATGTCAAGGAAATCCATGTCTGTCTGTGCTGAATTACTGCATTCATATTTCTACTTGTTTGTAGCAAACTAAAGTCATAATAAGCCCAGCTATGCAGATGAGTCATACAGGCCATCTTTCATTTAACAAGGCATTTTTAAATACCACTCTTAGTTAACTCGTACTCATTACCATCAGCAAGCAATGTTTGTGCCATACCATCCTAATTGCCAGAAAGTTGTGCAAGTAAATCATTAAAAGGTTAAGTTATTTTTCAGGCTAAATGTAATACACAGTATTAATCTGCTTTATTTTGTTATTATGAGTAATGCGATGTCGTATAGTTGCATCAATTTATAATTATGCCGGATCACATGGCAGGGGGGAAACAAGAACAACAAACAACAGACGGATGTCATTTCTGCTTAAATTCTCCATGTAAATTACAAATTCTTGTTAAGTTAGACCGGGCTTTCTTCACAGAGCACAACATCCAGATGGAGTCGCATCAGCAGAGCAAAAATGGAGACACATCTTTGTCTCAATTTTTTTAAAAGCAAAGTAACCAAATATCTTTCAAACAACACCCAGCCTGCTTTATATTTCCCTGTTTGATCCTTAATTACTTCTGAATAGAAATCCTAGAGACAACAGTGAAATCCAGACATTTTGGCAAAAGATGAGACGTGCATGAGACAATTTCACGTGTTGCTGACAACATCACCATAGGATGGAGCTTCTTTTCCAATGTGGAAATGTACAGAGGTGATGATACATCTCTCATGAGCGGTGTGCACGAGGCACAGGGCATCCCTCCAGCTCCTCCAAAAGGCACCTCTGTACATAAGAAGCATTACTTTCCCGTGCTACTTATTCCAAAATATTTCATTCTAGTTTAATCCTGCTACAGAGAACCAGTGGTAAATCCAGGGTCCTTAATACATCCTAAACTGCAACCTGCCACCTGTCTGAAGCAGAGAAAGCAAGCTCTGAGGTACCTCTTCGAAATGAGAGAGCTGAGCTACCCCTATAATTTGGAGATAGAAGGAGGAACTGCATTATATACGGGTAGTTAAATACACTTCTTAGTAATGTTAAATAAGTTAGGGGAAAATAATTGACTGTTAATCAATTAGCTAGAAAACCATAACCACTGTAATGCTATCTCTGACAACTCTATTGCAGATGCAAATTGATTTAATTTTGTTCATCACAGTGAATTTGATTCAAAGTGAAGTTTCCATTTGTTTGTTCTGATAGGCTGCTTACCATTAAAAACATATTCTTAGGAATTGTTTTCAAGTCTGCTTTCATACTTCTGTACAGCAGGTGACTTCCTAAACACATCTACATTTATCTTCTCTCTGCCTTGGATATATTAACTATTGCTGATAATAATGCTAAAAATTAGGGGAAAGGATAAAAGATAACTACTTGAGCTTAGTTATACAGGTACAGCATAATTTTTCAGGGAAAAAAGACCCCACACATATTCCAAAGACTTATCTCCAAAATAGTTTTATGCAACGGCCCTTTGTGTCATGATGCACTTTGAAAAGGCAGTTGTTGGCAGGAGAGACAGATGTGACAATACACAATATTTTTATCATGATAACCACTCATAGAGTTTGTGCGGTACCTGCATCACCAGAAATCAACCATTTAAAATGTTCCAGATCTCATAAAACCAGTAATTGGCAGACTATTTCACATTTGTTGTGGTTTAGGCTCAGCCAGCAGTAAGCACCATGCAGCCACTTGCTCGGTCCTCCCCACCCTGCTGGTGGGACAGGGAGAAGAATTGGAAGAGAAAAGGTAAAACCTTGTGGGGCGAGACAAGGACAGGGAGGGATCACACATCAGTTATGGTCACAGGCAAAACAGACTTGACTTGGGAAAAAAAGAATGCATTTAATTTGTTACCAATCAAATCAGAGCAGGATATTGAGAAACAAAACCAAATCTTAAAAATACCTTCCCCCCACCCTTCCCTTCTTCCTGGGCTCAACTTTGCTCCTGATTTCTCTGCCTCCTCCCCACCAGCAGTGCAGGGGGACAGGGAATGGGGGTTGTGTTATCACAGAGGCACTGACTGGCTTGGCCATGGCCAGCGGTGGGTCTGTCTTGGAGCCAGGGAAGCTTGTAGCAGCTTCTCACAGGAGCCACCCCTGTGGCCTCCTTCCCTGCTACCAAAACTCTGCCACACAAACCCAAGATTACACACTATTAAGATAGGTTAGTGAAGATTTTTGTTTGTATTATGTTTTACATTGTAAGATATTACGGAAAAATGCAATGAAGCAGAAATATATAAGGCAAACAAAATCTATTTATATTGCCAACATACGTGGACCATTTGTCACTCATTGTCAGAAAGTTACCGATGTCTGAAGCTATGGCAGACGGCAAAATGAAATACCTGTTTCAGAACAGTTTCATGACAGATATCTTAGGTCAAGCAGAACACATACGTGTGGTCGCATCACTTTCTGTTAAATGAAAAATGAAGTTTACATTTATGATTAAAACCAGAAAATATACTTTCAGGCAGAACTGGAATCACTATTTTCGGTTAGATATTAAGCTGAACATTTTGACAAAAATACGCAAGTCACAAGATCAGAGAGAAAAGTGCTGTCAAGCAAATCATCTGAAGACATCACTCACCTTGTGCAACTGATAGTATTGCTCAGCACCTACTCCTCCTTGCTCTTCTGCCGTCCACAGCACCAAGCGCAGAGTCCTTTTTGGACGAAGTCCTAAAACATAATTTTAAATGTTGTTTTTAGTACTAAATATCCGTATATTTGAGCATTTTTTGTATTGGTCTCCACCTTCCAATGGATGAAAAGCTTGGGTTCCCATCTGGTCACCTCCACATTCACCAAACACAACCTATTCCAAGTGCAGGTTTCATTGTCAAGAATACTTTTTGCTGAGGTGGAGGGGGAGAGCTCATGCAAGGAAGGAGCAGGCTGTTGTGGTGATGCTACCAGTTGCAGTAGCACAAGAGAAGCACATTTCAGGGATACACTGTAGGTGTCTGAAAACCGTAACAGAAATAAACTACCTTGATAGATTTCTGAGACATATGCTCCTGTCATTGTGGTGGTCTGCAGTAAGTAATGCGTGTCCCTACCAGCAGATCCAAATCAAATTTTCATGAGAATTACCATTGCTTTGTCATGGCCAATTTATTACAATTAATCAAAAATGAGCTGCTGGATTTTTATGAGAAATGTATACTCATTTCAAGAACTGAGGAGCTCTGCAATATTAATATGCCTTTTATCAGAGAAATGAAAAACAACAATCTGTACTTTGGAATCTGAAATACAATCGGCTGCTGAATGTATGCACGGATTTTTTAAAACAAGGGAAACACAAGGCTCAGTAAGAAAGACAGGTTCTCAGATAAATTTTGAAACCGTCTCTGCCATGGCAGATCTGAACAGATAGAAATTGTTGCCCTTTGCTTATTTGATTGATTCTATTCATAAACGAATACATCCGAGACATCAAACTTGAGAGCACGGAAAAGCAACCAGACCAAGAATAAACAGTGTTCTCTTTACAGTGTAATGTTAATTACGCTTGAGCAAAAATAAAGCCTCCAAAACTATTAAAATTTTAAAAAAGAAAAGAAAAAACAGTGAGGAGACTATCACAAGCAGTAAGGCGTAAATCACTCCACACACTTCCATGCTGAGGAGAAATACTATCAGTATCACTGTCAAAACTTATTTCATTTCATTAAATGGATAAAGTTTACAAATAGACCTGATCATTTTTTTTCACTTGACAATGAAAATCAGCTGAAGATTTCTTTCTCCAAAGTACATGCCAGCAATCCTCATAAGTGAAGGCAGAGTATACAAGGAATAGTCAAAATCTGAAGGAAACACCTTGGATTTTCCAATAGTTCATAATGAAGGAAGTGCGAACAAACGGTTTAAAGCTGTATTTTCTAAATGTTGATCTGCTGACTGTAAACAGAAAGGTCATCAAACCTCATTATTGTAAAGACAACCCCTCTGCCCACCCCTGATCTTCTCCCAGATCACGACAGCACAGGATTAGTGCCCTTTGCTTTTCAAATCAGCCAGACAGCCAGCGAGGTAAAATGAAGATAATAAAATAGCAATTGGGTTGACGTTAGAAAGATTTTACACCCAAAATAGCCAGAAATGTGTCAGCGGTTGAGTTAGAAGAGGTGGCTCTAAAGAAGAAGAGGTGCTGGGTGTAAAGCAGAGAGCGGCTGGTCCCATGGCACTGCAGCTGAAGTGGAAAACAGAGGAGTGTTTGTCTTATCACAAAAGACAAATCACCGAAGCCCAGTCTCCAGCCCACCACGCCAAGGCTGTGAAAGCAGGGGAGCAGCATCTCCTGCCTCCTCCCAAGCAAAAATCAAGACGCTTCGGTCTGCCACTGCTGTCCAAGGGGCTACTTGGGCTAGTGGCCAGGGAAGTCACAGCTGGCTCCAACGGGCTGGAACCCCAGATGGTCTCTCCTGCTCAGCTCACTTGTGAGGAGTAAGTTTGAGATTCTTACGGCCCTTTCCTAGCCTGTCATTGCATCTGTCCATTGAAACTGGGGAAAGAAAAAAGCCCTGCTGAGCTTCAGTCTTTCCAGTCCTGGCGGCGGTGTATCAGCTCTTCCAGTCTCACGGGTTTCTGTCAGCAGATTCTCTTGTGTGTTCTACTGAAATTAAATGGGCAAGTTGAAAAAATTCAATATATATATAAGCTATGGAGGCACTTATTTTAAATACAAAACAAAATCGACAGAGGAAAATTTAATTTCCTCATTATCTTAATCTAAAAGCGATAAGTATTTATCTACCTGTTATTAAAATACAGCTATTCTGACCAAAGAACATCAAACAAATCCCATAAACACAAGTTAAATGGCTAAGAATATTCTCAATGCATGTTTTTATTAAAAAATACAAAGTACTGTACTTAAGCTACAAGATTTTTTAAATGAAGTTTAACCCTATTGGCTTACTTCTTAAAATCTACTGGTTCCTAAGCAAGGTACCATCTCCACAAAATCAGAAGTCTTGAACATCACAGTCCAAAACTTCACTGAAAAGGCATGACAAGCATTTGGACTAGAAAACTGTGATGGGTGTACTGTGCAGAGGGGTAGGTAGCGAATTTCAAAATGAAGGAAAACTGTTTCACAAATAAAATAGTGCCTCCTTCCTTTTTATCTATGTAAACGACATATTATACAGTCTGGAAAAAAAAAAAAAAAAGAGACTGTCACAAGAAAAAAAAAATTGTAACAATACCCAGACCATTTATATAGGTCATTTTGGCAAAGTGGGACCTGAGATTATGTAACTCAAATGAAAGTTCAGCAAAGCTCTCAGCACCTCCTCAAAATCCAAAATCCCAGTTTCCATCCTACTTCTCCATCCCCATAAAGGGAACAGCAGGGGTTTACAGGAGGATAACATTGAAAAGGCGATAGCTGGTACTTAGCTAAATTGTTCTTTCTAAGCACACATAACTAAAATCAAAAGAACTATAGATCCTCCTCCAGCTACAGATTAATTTGCAAATCTCCAATGTTTTAGGAAAATAAGTGGATTTTTTTTCCCCCACTATCTTACCCTTAAGTGGGAAACATAGTTTACCGTAAAGGTGCATTTTATTGATCAATTTCTACATTCTCACGGCTTATCCCAAGCATATAAAATACTATAGGGCACCCCAGCTCCCAAGTTAAAGGATGAAATAAAAACATCGATATGGTCAACCTATGACTAAGGAAACGTGTGTAGTAAGTACACCAGGACACCCGTTGTGTACTCCCTCTGTGCTGGATTAGCTGTTAGACCTTTCGTTGTCCTTGGGTAATGCAAACACTTCAGTCACACTAAGATGAAGCTCTTATTGACTCTATTTTCTGTTTCTTTTAAAGCATCATACAGTGCTCACACTTGCAGATGTCAGCAGATGAACCAAAATACCAAACACTTGAAAAAAAAAATAATTTGTATCTAAGCTTTATTAACTAATTAGTTTGACTTCAACCTCAACTACAATGAAGTATTTTGCCAAAAGCTTTTCTTTTGTAACTTATGTAAAAGATAATGGTCAACAAATAACATGGAAGCGTTACACACACACACACACATATTTGTATATATACACTTTTTACATTTATTTTAAATCTGAAATGAATATTTTCTGGATGTGGTGGTGTTCGTTAAATCCACACACATTCTTACACATGTGGACGATCTCCTTCTGATAAGATATTTACCAGGGTGCTATAGAAGACCTGAATTTTATGTCTCACATCTCTTGCTCATACTTTATAGAATTGAGACATTCCCACATAGTCAAACTGAAATGTATGGTTCAGTACAAGCACAGACAAATTATGCTCATCTGTCACATGTAACGTAAAAAAATAAACCTCCTTCACCCTCAAGATAGCACATAAGCCAGGAGGGAGAACTTGAATTGTGTCCTTCTGATAATCAAAATAGAGATGAGTAGTGTAAATACTAAATTTCCTTCAGTAAATATTTTCCCACTTTATAAACATAAATCCTTACTGATGGGGAGGATTAAGTAGAAAGATACAGCATTTTCTAAGAAGATAGCGTACGATGGCTAATCAGACTTCTTCAAGAGAAGTCATCATGTTGTTATAAGACTGATCAGCTCTTGAAAGTATAAAAAGCATTTCAATTTTGTGAAAAGAAGATTTTTTCCCCCGGGTGAAGTATTTTAACTTGCATTTATAGTGTACTCAGTGGTAACACACTGTCTTCTTGCTTTCAATTTCTAAAGCTTATTTCTATTTCTTCAGTATGAAAGCAATTTCTGGTGCATGTTAACACGTTTTAGGTTCAAATTAGCTGTATCAATACTCATTCCTAAGGGCTCTGTTTTGCATACAACACACTAGTAGTCCCTTTATGCATCACTGAAATCCCCTCCACACTAGCAATGATCAGTTTTGGTTGATTTTTTTTAATCTGGCCAAATATTCAGAGGGTTTTTTTCATTTTCTTTTAGATTCAATCAAAAAAGGTCACATTCACTCAGCCTCAATAACTTTTTAAGCCCTTTTTCTTTCTTTATAGGCTGTACGCAGTTTTGGTGTTGCAGTCGTCCGTAGCATTTCCAGAACTAGAGCCCACATTGCAGTTTTGCCCTCTGCTAGAGGTCCCAATAAACTGAGTATGCATAAATTCCTAACATTTGCTACCCAGTTATATTGCTCTTCTGACAGGGCTCTGATAGGTTTTGAACAGGAAGATTTCAATATTCCCAAGTATTTTAGAGCATATTACCTAATTTCTGTACTCTGCAGCATGGGCAAGCTCTGTTTTAGGAAAAAAGCTCTTCTCCTTAGCATCCTGTTTCTCTGGATAATTGAAAAGGATACACATATAATAATAAACTACAGTAATAATGCAAATAATTCAAGATGTCCAGATTTTTCCCTCTGGAGACCAAGAAGTTTCCATTCCGGAACAGCAGGATTTTGGTTTTCATTCTGTTATTACAAATACAATCCTCTATGATTCAGACAACTAATCTCAATATCTGTGCATAAAAGTGTCTGTCTAGTTGGACATTTATTTTAAAAGAAGTATTTTTGCTTTGAGTGAAAAATAATAGAGAAAATATTAGGACTATTAAAGCTACAAGCTTTGAAAAGACAAAGTACACCTTAAAAAAACCCCAACTTTACAGCATAGAATCATTTAGGTTGGAAAAGACCCTTGAGA